TATATATTGATGTCATTGGATCTGTCTAATAACTGAATAACCACGTTCCCTAAACGTTCCCCCTGCATGTCTACCTGCAGTAATCAGCTACAACAGCATTGTTACTTTCCCGAAGCCGAATAACAGAGAGAACATTTTGTCTTAAGACGCCGTCTGAGTATTTTAACTTCCCCTCCGCCCACCGGATGTGCTCCGTTAAGGCCCCATTTATGCTCCGTTTATGCATGTAAATAGGGCCGTTGTCAAGCATCACTCCCCTCGACCTGAAAAGCCGTTTATTAAGTTGCCACGGTTGATGGGCAACCGAGTCACTAGAGGGCGTTTTTCAATTAGCTTCCAAATTTAGAGGAGCGTCTCAGACGACAACAAACATGGCGACAGCAGAGGGGATCTTCATAGCGTGGAGTCTCAGAGAAATGAAAGGAGGCACCGCGGTAGTTCACTAAACGCGTTGCAGAATGTGAACTGAGAAGTTCTGACAGGTCCGGAATCTTCGTCTTTTTCTTCTTTCTTTTTGCTGATCTTACATGAGCTACGCTACCCAACACTGCCTCTAAGGGAAGTGGTGGGATCAGTTCATGATGGACTGAAATACACATGAAACACTTCAGGTCAAATCAGTTAATAAGAAGACTCACATATCGTCAACTTTCGAAAAGAATGACCTCAGTCACTTTTTGCCAAAAGATATTTTGGCAAAAAAAAAATCAAAGCCTCCATCTTTCCAAAAGACACTTTAGGCATAAAAACAAATCACTTTGGGCAGAAAATGACTGAGGCCATTATTTTAGGAAGGTGACCAAGAGTAACGTTGTGCTTTAACAGACCAAAAATAACTGTAGATAAACCAATAGACGTGGAATGGCATTAAAGATGGCATCTTTGAAACAAAGTTTTAATAACTATGTTACTGCAATGTGGTCAAACCTTCACAAGCAAAACATAAAGTTAAGACGTGTCCCTAAATGGAGTTGAACAGTAACCGAGGAGTTAAGAACGGTTAGACTGAGCGTGAAAATTGGGTCAGTGAACGCCGCGTGCGTTTGTTCCTACCTGCTGGTCAATCCCCACTGCGTCCAGTCCGTGGTACATGATGTTAACCCAGCCGTCTTTTGATGCTAGAACAAACAGCGACATAAGAGCCTAGAGGAACACAGGCAAAACAACACGCTTAGATTAAAATCATACCTGCCTAATAGGGAATTTGTACTTTTACTTCATTTGTTATCTACGGCGGCCCCTAGGGGACATGGGTGATTTCTGTTTTTTTTGTTGTTTTTTTTAACTTTGGCGTTCCCGTGCTATAATGTACTAGTCAATTCATGCTGCACCTTGAACACTGACAGTTTTTCACTGAATCATTTTCATTCTTAAAAAGAATTTTCTAGCAAAATACTTTCTGAATTATCTCCCACGTTTTGAGAACGACATTCTGTGGACAGCTCTACGTTTACAGGTTCTAAAATAATAAAGACATGACAAAAGGGATTATCTTTTTTTTTTGTTGGTAATGATTTTGTCCCGTACCTGTCCAAGGTTGTCAAAGTTGTACTTGTGGTGAACCCATCGGTAACCGGCTCTGATGCAGTCCGTTTTATTCGTGACGTTCTTCACGTCCGGACCCACGCAGTAGTAGAACTTGCCTTTGAAGAGCTTTTGATGCAGAAACACAAACGGAGAGGGAGAGATGAGCGAACGAGGCGACCAAAGACACATTCTGACGACGGCATGACGACACTCAGAAGCACAGCCAGACGCCGCCTTTTACACAGCTTTTGAAGTAATCTCATATTTAACGTCTACGGTGCGTTTGGTTCTCAAATAAATCTTCCTATCAAACATGTCGTAGACAGAGAGTGTGGAAAGCAACGTATGCAGGCGGGGATTTTGAAATTAATAACACCGGTTTTGCTTTGGGGAGGAAAGAGGCATGACGGGAGGGACTGCTGGTTCTCATTCATTCAAGTTTCCTCCATTAGTTCAGACAATTTGTCTTTGTCTAGAGATGCTGTCAGTAGTTGACACAATCAACAAATGGAATAATAATCCTCGGCCCCGACTTTCTGAATTTTGGAAGATCGACCATTGGCCAATACTCAAATCAGAATCTGTTCTTATCCATCGGTCAACAATTATCACCCCACTGTTACCAGCTTAATCGGCAGGTCAGGCTTTCCAAAGATCGGCGATCGGCCAAAAAACTGCAATTGGTGCACCGTATGTAAATTTTATTCGGCGAGAGGGAAGGTACTTTTCTGAAGATGGTTTCATGTACCTGAACTCCGAGGATGCCAAAGATGATGAAAAAGGCACAGCAGATGAGAACAATGTTTCCGATGGGTTTGAGGGAAGTAATTAGCGTCTCCACCACCAGCTTCAGCCCGGGAGCCCTGCTGATAACCCTGTGACCCACACCAAGGCAGGCAGAGAGAAAACAAGAGACAAAGACTCAGAGAAAGAGAGCAAGAGAGCAAGAGAGCTGATTTTCAATGTAAAACTGTTAAATAGGAACTGAGTTTGCCGTGTCATTATCATCAAAGTAGCAAATGAAAAAGCTTGTGTTTTCTCTGTAATATACGAAGAACAGATGTATATTAAATTGGTCATAGATGGATTGACTTGGATCTTTTTAATTGGTGTTTATGCCAAAATAAAGCTCCCGATACACTCGGTGGCGTTCCTCGAAAAGATGAAAAAAAAAAAACAACAACAACAACAACTGCAGTAACATTTTATAGGTAGAAAAATTCAACATTTTATCTGAAAGTATTTCTCTAGTGGTACAAAACAACAACTATCTGCTATGAAATATTTTGTTTTTGGGAACTAAAAGCATCAACTGTGAACTAAAGTCATCAAAAGCCTTTAAGATACACATCTTAAGGTTGATTAAAGTGTCTTAAAACCTTTAAATAGGAATCCAGGATTTCTTGTTTCTATGGAATATAAATGTAGTGAGACAAAAAGGATATTTTTGCTTCAAAATTAAAAGAAAATAAATAAGGTATGTTTGTAAGACGGATGTATGTTGGTCTTCAATCGTCAGCAAATAGCTCCAAGAAAATGGATGCCAGTCTGAAGAGTCAGAGCAATAATTAAAACAAAAAACCAACTGGAATTTGGGCAACAAGCCTGAATGATGTACCAAGTATATTTTTCCCCCATGGACGATGAGAAGGACAGTAAGATAAGCTCTAGAGTCATTAATAGAGAGGTCAAAACAAAGACTGAGAGACTTGAGAGTCACAAAGTCGCCAAGATTTATGTTTTTACTCTTGTATAGAGCAATATTTGTATTTCATTAGTCTGCTTATTAGACCGTCATGAATTGAAACCAGTGCTGTGATGGCATTTTCCTTTTTATTTACATGATTTCACACAGAATAAGAGTGTGACAGACCTAGAAAGAAGATAAAAAAAAAAAAAAAACTTGCACGACAAAGGAGACTTTGAGCTCAGTAACAAAGAGGTAGAGAAGGAGAGGAGAAAGCAGTTAACTCACTGACTTTTACCCGCTCCGAGTCAGACCGCGTTCTCTGTGTTGGACCTGTGATGGACTGTCCAGATTGAACCCTGACTCCTGTCTGGTGTCAGCCGTCAGTCTCCAGGACCTCCACGGACCCGGAGAGGATTAACCGAGTAAAGATAATAGATGGACGGACAGATAGCGCCATGTCTGGCAGACGGGTCGGGTCCCAGACTTTTTTTGCTTGGCTGGGAACAGTAGTTGGAGGTGGTGGTGGCCAGTGGGGAGGGGGTGGGAGTTCCAGCATGTTGCCTGGCAACTACTCAGAGATGAGTTGCTGTTTTTTTTTACTATGCATTTTCTCTAGGTAAAACTTTCGACAGACTTTGTAGTATTTAGGCAACATGCCTATATTTGTCAGTTGAAGTGCTACAACGCAAAAACACCAAATCTTAGTATTTCTAGACTGTTTTTCTTGCGCAAATATCTTATTACACTTAAAATAAGACAAAACTATAGCTATAGGAGTTTGTTTTGAGTAAATAATTCCTTAATACTGACGAAAAACTACTTGTTCCATTGGCAGACAAATTTACTTACAAGACATTTTCCCGATGTTACAGAGGAAATAATCTGCCAGGGGAACCAATACGTTTTCATCAATATCACTGTAAAAAAAAAAAAAAAAAAAAGAAAAAAAGAAAGGATCTGATTTTGTCCCTTTGTCACTAACCTGAGAGGCCGTAACGTCCTGAGCAACCGGAGAACGCGCAGGACTCCCAGGATCTTAGCGCCTCCTGCCATTGACACGACAATATCAATCAGAGACACAAAGACCAGGAAACCGTCCAGGATGTTCCAGCTGCTCCTCAGATACGCCGTCTCTCCCAGGTACAGGCCCATGGACACAACCTGGGAGAAACACAACGGAGACATAACCCACATGAGCAGACGACTCATCAGACACACTTTGGTGTTTAATATGTTCTAAAAATGTATGAGCTAATTTACAGATTTCTTCTGTTTTTGGCAAACGTCAATGTCACACAAAGATAACTGAAGCAAATGCAAAAAGATGGTCTAAAAATACTATCGTAAGTGTTTTTGCAACAACTAAAGTAGTGTTTCTGTCTAATCATTTGCGTTAGCCAGAAACTGTTAGCCAACATCTGGCTAACATGGTAAAATGAAATTGTTCTTAAAAACATTAACTAACTTTAATGAACTGATGAAAATAAGTTATTTATACCAACTTGGGCCTGTGAGAAAAAGAGATTTAGTTTGTGAAATCTTAAATTAGCTGTAATCTAGTTTTTTTTTTTTTTTTTTTTTTTTTAAAACCCATTTAAATTTAAACCTTTTTTTTTTGCCAAAAGGAAACATTTTACTTTTTTTTTT